GGGTTCGCCGGTGCAGGCGGGCAGGCAGTGCGGCCGCGTAGGTAGCACTGAGAGCTGGAAGAGGCAAGGAAATTGCTTCCTTCCCCAAAGCACGCACTTAATACCCGCGAAGGAAGAGTAAAAAGTCCTGAAAACCGCCCAACGAACCCACGGTCTCAGTGGAATAATACGCGAGAGGGGAGCGCTACGGCCCTGAGGGAAACCTTGTCGTTTCCCATCGGTTTCTTCAGTGCTGCATGCGTGCTGCGCTGGGCGGTGGGAAGCGTCAGAGCTCCCGCGGTGAACAGTACGTGGTCACGCCATTCAAGGCCATCACACAGGCGTGCAGGAGGAGCTCGTCAGGACCTCACGGTCTCTTCCAGCCCCAGTCCATATTCCACCTTAACTTCAATTCCTTGGCTCAGTTTTCCTGCCTGCACTTTCTTCTCTCCCTCTAGTCCCGATCCCCATCTGATCCCCGTTCTATTGCACGCCTCAGACCGCCATCCTTCACCAGCTCCCAACTTCGCTGTCACATTCCTGGATAAAGTGTGCTCCTTCGCACAGAGGCTGAAGTGCTGGTAGAGAAGACAGACAGAGGTAAACAAACACAAGCTGATCACTGGCTTTACAGGAGCGTCTTGAAAATACATGTACAAGTACGCCAACAGCACCAATACACACAAGTAAACTATTTGTTGTTGCTGCTTCCAGATGCGGGAACCGTGGTGCGTGTTCTGAACTGAGACCAAGCTGCTAGCTATGCCTGAGGTGACATGTAGGAAATACTAAGTTTTTACTTAAGAAAGACAGTGGCGCCGTACCTCACGTACATGAAGTCCAGGAGCTATCATGGCAGAGCATAAAATGCATGCCAACATCTCATCAACAAGGACTCGAAGCACCTACTGCAGGAAAAAGAAAAAAAAAAACCCACAGATGCCAAAAAGGAGGGAAATGCAATATTTAATAAGGAAAAAATAAACACTTGTGTAGGTTGTTTTTGTTTTTTTAAATGAAGAGTCTGTATTTAATTTCCCCTTAGAAATAATGTTCCTTGGACATTTAAGGTGTTAGTAATTTCTTGGAAGTTGGCACTCGGTTTTCTAATTTTTTCACACTGCTTTGCTATGAGCAGTTCCAAAGCAGCATTTACAAATGCTATACTTACATGCATTATGTACTTATGTTACATGTATAGTGATACAGTTCATCTTTAAATTTGAGAGGGCAGCCAATATTAACAGTCACGTGCCTACATGAAAAGCATAGAAAGGAAGTTAAAAGCTGAAGCAGCAGCCAAGGAGCATGGCATCATGTTAAAATTTTGTTACTTTGGTACCAATTCCATGATTTTGTGGGCTGAATTACTGACATTTAAACTATGCTAGTAGGAATAATAACTGTAATCTCAGCAAAAGCGAATTACCTTGGGTTAAATTTCAGCTTTTGTAAGGGATAGGTACCATCTTCTTAAAAAACCATAGAAGCTGAGCGGAGTGGCCTGTCAGGAGCAGACAGCAGAGCTAGAGCATCATGTCAATAATCACAAGCCAGCCTGAATAAATTTTAAGGACCCCCTTTTACTTGGAACTTTGAAAATCTTGCATCCTTGAGAAAGCAAAGCCCCACAGACCTTTTTGTCTAAGATCCTTCATCGCAGTTCTTTCACTGGTAGCACAAACCAGGCGTCGAGAAAAAGCAGAGACAGAGCTGCTACGCTCTTGTCTCCACTGTTGGGGCAGGCCTCGGGTCTGGACGAGGTGCCGAGGCGAGTAGCTACGGCAGCATTCCCATCCGTGTAACCCAGGTGAGGCTGAAAGCCTGGCACCAGCAGAGAGCGCAAGCCATCAAGGGCGGTGCAAACGGGGATTGAAGTGCTTTTACAACGTTACCGCCTTACCAAGGGAGCTCCGCAGAGCCCCGTGTGACCAGGAGGCCCAGCTCCACAAGCGGGCCAGCGTACCGATTGCAGCGGGGTTAAACTCGCCGGGGTAAGGTAGTTTAGCAGCTCTTGTAACACCACCGCCTTCAGACGGGGCAGCAGGGCCGCTGCCCGCCGGAGGAGCGCGGCCGGGGGCAGGGCACGTACCCCGCTCTGCGCCTTTAAGGTCCTCATCCT